GAGCGTCCTCGGGTGCTTGCGGGATACTTGACGGACTCGGCTGGTTTCACATGTATAGCGTGCCCTTGCTGCGCAAGACCCTCTGGATGGCACGGCAGAGAGAGAGAGAGAGAGCAAACAAGGTAGGGTTGTGATTCACTAAGGCTTGCCATTTCCCAAACTGGTTGCAACCAGATCACAACCTACCCGTATGAGGGGTTATAGTCCAACCAAACAGCCCAACACGGGCTGGGCATTGAAGCCCGGAAGGGGGCACATGCCCTCTTCCATGGCCCGCACGAAAGAAAGAAAGAAAGACTTATTTTCATAATTTTTTCCCAACCTGGCATCTCTGAGGTCAGCATCGGTGCAGCTCGTGAAGATACCAGGCGAGCTGGGCTTCGCGCGCAGTTTGGACACGTTGTGCTTGATCTCCAACAGTTTAACCGAGCTTCCGCCCGAGGTGGGCCTGTTGACTGGACTCACACACCTCTACCTGAACGGGAATTTTTTAGAAACCCTTCCAAAAGCAGTGTGCGCCTTGCCAAAGTTGCAAGAGCTCTGCCTTGATGCAAACAAGATCAAGGAGCTTCCTCCGATCACCTCTGCAAAGCTTATTCTGTTGACAGCGCCGGGTAACAACATGGAGGAGGTCCCCCTGGTACCTCACTTGGAGAGACTCGAGGTGCACGGAAACCAGATCAACAACATTGTGACTTCCCTGGGATCGCCAGTGATGCACAATCTCGTCACTCTCAAGGCCTGTTCATCACCATCATCCACAGCCTTTGGTTAATGCGGTTGATGACTGCCCCAAGCAGACTTGCGAAGTATCAGCCCAATTTCTCGGAGGTGATGGGAAATCAGCTGCAGAAACTGCCAGAGGAGGCTGGTAAGGGAGGGAACCCAGGAAATACTTGTTGGAGAGTTAGACAGCTACTTAGTATTGGAACACAATATGGAAAGAATGATGTTAAAAAATCATAGTATCAGAAACCGTCGGTCATCTCAAGCCGTAATTGCCCCCTACATCGAAGAAGTCTTCAACTGAAATGCCCCTCACACACGAACAAATACATTTTGAATGCGCTCTTCAGTCTAGATGAATGACCGACAGAACTATACAGATTGCATATGTCTGCTTTAAGCGGGCGTATGTGGACATGACTTCTGCGATCTTTGCGATCTTGCATTTTTCTTTTCAAAGCAATAAGGGTCAAACATAGGACGATGCCCCAATGTGTCATGCTGCTCCTTCATGTCTTGTAAGACACTGAGTACGTACCAAATCGTCACCCAGCCATTGTTGTAACTGCAATTCTGCCAAAAGCACTGCAAGACGATAGACGTCAACCTAAGATGTTGCGTCCGAGGGAAGATACAAATAGTGTTGTCCGCAGCACATGCATAGTTTAGTCTGGCTTCTAGATGTTTCCAGCATTTTCCAGCTTCTCTCTATCGCTGAAGAAGAACACAGGAAAACACCCTCCAAGGAATCCAAACGCTTTGTGCTAAGCGGCAGCACGACAGGTTTCGTACATGACCAACCTGAGGATCTTGTCTGTCGCGGAGAACCGTCGTGGTCTCATATGTAGCTTTCTCAAGCGAGCACGGAAACAGGGCTTCGTCAAGCCTGGTGCCTCACGAGGCCTGACATCTTTGCCGGAGGGCATTGCAGCCTTACAAGGCCGACTGCCGGGCAAAAAGCGCCAGGTTACACCATGCAACTTTGCTGATTGTTGATGTCAAGCCCTTGTGGGAGGATCCTGTAGCCTAGCAATGTGACTTAAAGATAGGAGCCATGTTGCAATCCGAGACATGCAGGATTGCCTTGCCTTCTCGCGTTGTAGTAACCCTTCTGCAAAGGGCGTGTGCTTTGACTAGAGAGAGGTCATCACCGAATATCATCCAGGAAAGACGCTGTACAGTACTCCCACAGATTCATGCTGAGCCTGCTGGCCCTGCCGGCAACAAAAAGAAGAGATTAAACAATCTAGCATGGAGAGCCAGGTGACTGAGTAATAATGCAAGGAAGCTAGGAAGTTGAAAGGGAGGAAACAGGTGAGCAGCAGCTAGGCGAATGGTGCCACCTACTTAGCTGCTCAGCTTGCAGCCTTCAACGTTCTACAGACATGATCGTGCTGTCCATCCCACAGTGTTGGGGTGCGCCGAACTAGAAGGCATTCAGGTTCTGAAGAGCTGAGAAGTAGTTCATCTCATAGGAGCTTTGATTTGTTGCTGCTGCAGGCCTGGAATGGCTATTGGCCTACGGGTGACTGAGCATGAGCTTGCCAGTTTTAAGTTCGGACACCAGTATTGTTTTGTTGCTGCTTACGTGTATATATATATGTATAGGCATGCACAGCATTCTGCCAGGAACTGCCTCGGCGAGGTGTCCAGCAAAATTGTTTCAGGTGGGGCTGCCAGCGACAGAGCGTCAGCATTTTCTGTGGTAAGAAATGAATTTGTAGACCGAGTCCAGGACTTTTGGTGTTGTGTGCGTATGTGTTCGCAACTGCTGTGAAGTTGGCCGTGTGAGGACATCCTGAAACCAAGCCGGAACAAGCCAGGTTGTATATACATATATATACATATCAAATCATGGTCTATTGCTGTCAGAGAATTGAAGCTGACCTGGCCACAGGCCAGCAATCCATGTCTGGCGGTTGTGTGGTGTGATGCCTTTTGCAGGCTGCAGAGGCCTTACAAGGCCGGAATGATGTTCCACTGCTCTGGGCCTCCGAGTGGGTGCTTCCGGGTGTAGGAAGATTTGGGTGCCTCTCCACAGTCCTTGTGCGGACCTGCTCCCCAAAACGGGATTCACTGAGACAGGTGACAGGGAACTACGTAGTCAAGTAGTTGTTTAAGGGGACTTGCACAAGACTGGCCTGATTAACGTGACACAGCGTTGTTTTGAGTTCATATTGCTGGTACTGTTGGTTGGATCTCGTGACCTTGACTGCAACTTTAGGTTCCATAAGCATACCTAGCGGTAAGTATTGGATTTCTCCATGCTCGGATGCAAGCAATCAGGCATCTGCACACGTGCATATTCGAAGTGTTTGCCTTGGTCCCTTCTTTGTCAGCACAAAGGCGCCAGTAAGGCGAACTTCCATCATCTTCCATCATGCTCCTTTTGTCATGATATGAACAGCAATCCACAGGGGCAACAGTATTTTCTACTCACAACTGGCAAGAATCACGACAACCTCAAGTGACAGCTCGACCAAGCATTTCGATGTGTCAGGCTGCTCTTGGAGGCCAACCCGTTAAAACCCGCAGTTGTGGCGGACCTCATTGCAGAAGTCTCGAGGCGAACACCTGGCGCAGGGGAAATCCGGGTAGATATGTGAGCTATAGTATACTATAGTCTAAACTCCTTCAAGAAGGTTTATATAAGGGATTATACAGGGGACTAGTATAGGAGTCATTAAGGGGGATGCTAGAAGTTTAGGCTAGCTCACGTATAGTATTGACCTTTGCAAGATTGTATGGTGCATTTTTATGTTTCTTGTATGTACTCCTGTCTTCGAAGATGTATCTTACGCTCATTTGCTCTTTGCAGGTCTAATCTGAAGACCCTGGGCCTGGACACTCAGCAGGCGTTGCTCCCAGCTCCTCGAAGTCCTCCCAAAGCCTATTTTCATGCCCAGCATGATTTGTCCTTGTTGATGCCCGCCCTAAGAGGGCACACAACACATAATGCCTGCAGTCAGGTGAGGGCTGCGCTGGAAGCTTCCACACTGGCGCCGGACTGAGTGGTACTTGTTTAAAAGCTGCAGAGGTTTGAATCAGCATTTTAAGGAGGAGCTGCCTCCAGCTGTCTCTGTGGGGACCGCGGAGTCCTGAGATGAGCAGAAGAAGGGTTCGTCTGGGTCATCCTGACACAGCAGCCAGGTACTGCCTCTGCGCGGTTCCAGCCAGATCAGCTTGAAACTGACGCGAGCCTCGCAACTTCGACGGCTCCTGGTCTGAGAGGTTTGTGGCGCTTCAGTCAACAGAGCTGAAGTAAAAGCTTGCTCGGCTGTATGCCAAGGAAGCCAGGGGTCAAATCAGTAGCTGAACCTGGTGGGCCTGCTGACCCGGTTGACAAGCCGGCAGAGCTCTTGATTGTGGCCTTCGCAGCTTCACAGGAGCATGGGAGATCATGCTGATCAAGCTGATGCAAACAGAGAGTGTTTGATGCTGATCTTGACACACCGGATGATTTGCTCATCTGACGGGTCCTGCAAACTCTTCACACACCTTCGTGGGTGCGCTCTCGTGCGTCTGCACTCGTCTTCTACATTCTACAGGTACGGGCGAAAGTGTATGTCCTGACATGCTGCCACGATTCATCCGTCGTACATACTGTATCTCATGCAAAATGCCAACTCCAGCACGCGTGCTTGCGCTGCGAGTATGTGCGGGTGGACAGGTGCCCTGCCTCCAAGCCTACATGTCTTTAGCATCTCATTTCAGATAACTTGTCAAACCTGTCCAGATGTTTCGTTCATCACGTGCTGACTGCATTGCTGTCCTATTCTTGGAGCGTTTTCAGCTGAATCCTACAATCCGTACAAGTCAGTCACAGCAGCCCAACCTTGCTGGCGAACTGGTCTTCGTCCAAGCCGGCCTGCTTGTGCGGGTACATCGTTGCTGTCGGTGCGCATGGCGGGGGCAAGCGTAGATTCGTTTGAGAGACTATCCTCTTAATTGTTCTTGCTTGCGTGTGGCAGCCCTTGCAAGTCTTCGCCTGTCTAGGTGCCAAGCATTGAGATTACACATTTCCGCTTGGGGCTAGGCCCTTGATCTCATGACACTTCCCTGCTGCAATCAACAGTGCAGAAGGGCACTCAGGGAATTCTATGCAAAGTTATGGACTGCGAGCGTCGTAAGGCAGTGAGCAGGTACGCCAGCGCGAACTGTGACAAAACCGGAGAGACGTCAAACCGCAACCCTGCCTTCTTTCGGTGCATTGACAAGCAACAAATCAAAATTCCTTTGTGAGTCGCAGCTGTTCCACGCATGGCGCGCTGTTTGATCTAAGGTTGAAAACTGATGCAAGCTGATTTTAGCTGCGCTGGTAGCATGTTGTGGGCTGTCGGTCCTGAGAGGGCGAGCCAGAGTGGCTGGGCTTTCTGCGGCGCCTCCTCGAACATGGTAAGGTGGAATCAAATTTCGAAGCTGAACCGGTGAACCGATCCTGAAAGCTCACCTATAGGTGGCGCCGCTGCCGCAACCCTTCGGTCACCTGACTGATCTCTTGGAGGCGTTCTGGCATGGAGGGCAGATCAGCACAGGGTTAGAAGCTGGAATTTGACAGGCAGATGGTGCTGCGGAGCAGGACTTCGACAAGACCATGTCCAGGCAGCATAGACGTCCCAGCTGCCTGCTCTTGAACATCTTGCGTGGCTTCAAAGGTTCTGGTTTGGAAGCCCTTGCGGCAGCGCGACGTACCAAGAGCAGGACTGCATTTGGGCATTGCCTTGCTGGGCATTCATGCTTATGGAGAGGAGGTTGAGGAGTCTGAAGCCCTGCCTCTTTTGGACTTCGACTTGTCAGCTTCTCAGAATGCTAGAGCTGATGCTTACAATCTGAATGGCTGGTTATTGGCCAGGCTTCAGGTTGTCAATTGTTGCCCTGCTGAGTTTGCTGTTGATGCACCGCAGCCAGCCAAAGCATTGCGAAGGCAATTGCATGAGCAATAATTTCGCTTCAGACCTTTTGCTTCCAAAGTTAGGCTCACAGCGGTCGACCATCGCATGCGCTGGTATGCAGAAGATCGCTGCGGCCTCGTTTGCACCTGCGAAATCTAAGCCAGTTACTGTATGTGCTTGACATTCAAATGAATAACTTCACATAACTGCCAAGGACCGGCCCTCGAAGAAGCCTTGCGGAAACTGCGGCCACATTACTCCAAAATGCTTTGCGTGCTAGCCTCAGAAGCTACATTGCTTGGCCTACTTCCAGCAAGTGGGAAAGAATTGCTAGGTTGGTGCTTCCATGGGGGGCTTTGCTGCGCGGGAGCCTAGTTGAGCTCAACCAACGCATAAAATGAGTAAACTGCTCAACAGCTCCACCTTTCAGGCGCTGCTTCATGGCGGTCTGGTGGCGGACGGCGTCCTGGCATTGAATCCTCAGGCAACTTGGTAATGGTTAGCGCTGATTTCTTTGCAGGCTCGTCTGGCTAAAAAGTGCTGCATGAACATGGTATGAAGTTGTTCTCATGCGTGCTACATGAACTTGTGCAAGCTGTTGTGGCCTCGCGACGCCTTCTGATTTCGAATTGCCTGGGGAACTGAGCTGACAGTGCTTACTTGGCGCACTGCTTGCAGTCTGCTTTGCAATCCAAGGCCACTTTGACGGAGGCCCTCCTCCGGCCACCAGCATCAACGCCACAAGACCTTCAGGACTTCTCTGTCGCGTCGACGCTTTGGGGCCTTTTTCTTGACGTGTTTGCAGGACCTCACTCAGTCGCTTCTCGACTCGGCCAAAGCAGCTTCGGATCGGGGTGCACAAGTCACAGTGCTTTGTGCTCAGTCGCTGCAGCTCCATCTCGGGTGGAGATGTTGTTGAACTTGCTATTCGCAGGCACAGCGCGGCTGATGAGCACTTGCTTCATGTTCTGAACCTAGTGCTGCGCAGTTGCTACTGCAGCCAGGCCTGTCACACTGGACCCAGTGCATCAAATTGCTTGGAGCCATTTCGGCCCATAATCGTCCATATGATTACGTCGCCATGCAGACTTGCAAGTTCTTGCAGGACTTATCTTCCAGCAGTGGTCCAGCCGAGTACAAGTAGCTCTAGCAAGCAATGCAGACAGCATCAGAACAGCAACAGTGATATCTTTTGTCACCGCTCATCGCCTGTGAAAAATCGGGCGATCTCGACTGCTCGGCCAGGGTACAGCACTTATTCTGTGATGGTGAGGAAGATCGAGGAAGTGCGGAGCACTGCCAGCCTGCCTTCCTTGTTGAGGCTGACTTCACAGCTGGACGACATGTTCGAGAGGAGCAGGAAGTTTGGGTCCTCTGTGAGGCACATTGCACTTGGAGACAGTGAGTACGACATGGCAACATGGATGCAAGGCAACATTTGGAAAAGCAATGGCAACAGATGCCGCAACCTCTGAAGGCATGCTGCTTTGCCTGTCTTGGACACCTTTAACGTAAATTGCAAGCAGGAGGGTGCGCACAAGACCGTGGATGCCTTTCTGAAGCACACGGGAAGCGAGAAGTCAAACACTCGAGTTCTGTTCAGAAAGTATGCCACAGGCCAGGCAGTGATGCCACGACTTTGCGTTCACATCTGCCTTGATGATCGCCTGCAGGCAAGGATGGGGATGGACACTCTGTACTCGATCTTGCGGGTGCGACAGCTCTGGTCTCTGAGCTCCTGGGACGGTGTGTCATCCCTGCTACATGGTACAAGGCACTTGGCATGTGGAACTTTGATGCTGACAAGCTGTTAGGCTGTCAGACAAGCTGAAAATCCACCACAATTTCTTCTACGATCTAGAAACACAATTTTACCAGCTCGGCCCTCTGAGTGATATGCGTCGCCGTAATCATCGCCCTAGCTAGCCAAACACACCAGATAGGACGCAAGCCTCTTCTCCAGGTTTGACTTCAATGGTGATGCGCGCTTGAACGAAGAGGAGACGATCTGCATGGTCCGCAGCACCATGACTACATGCGACAAGCGTTGCGAGTTCGTAGTTTTCTGTGGTATCTTTGGGTAGTGGTGGCACGCCATCGTTGAATCTGCAGTGCCTTCCTGTTGCTGTATCTTTTTCCTTTGCCTGTTGGCTCATGCACGCCTCTCACGCTAGGATTTTAGGTCTGGGTTCTTGCAGAGTGAAATTTGCGGGAAAATGGTTGACACAAAATTGCTGGATGAATTCCACTGGTACGGCAAAAGGGTGTTGAAGAAATCAACTGATTTGGACGGCTGATTTCTTCTTCTTTTGGCCAGACAGCACGATGGGCGGCAGGTCCTGCATGTCAGACGTTGACATGGTTGAGGTCATCAGCACCACTCTGCCTAGGGCAGCGAGAGTGAAATCCAAGAAGCAAAATGCTCCGTCGAAGCTTAGTCTGGCAGGGCTGCTTCGTAGCCACTCCCCACTTGCTGCAGCACGCCATGACATAACTTAAAGGCTGAGAAGCAGGCAGGCTGCTTCACAACTTGTTTACGCCAAAGTCGCCTTACAGTATTGTTAGTTAGTGCCACGGTGACTCTTCCGCCTGGTCCCCTGAATTGCGAGACCAGTCAAGCCTTCTAAAATGCTCAGCTGGCAGAATCAATACTGTGAGGAAAGGGCAGAACAAAGAGACATGCTAGTGACGTGTAAAACGAGATGCATACCCGTCCGCCTTGATACGTTTGCGTCACGTTAGCAGCAACCGGCATGGCATGGGTCATCTCACTGTGTATGACTGGGAGCAATCGGGGCCAGTTCACTGTTCCACGGTGTTCCACGTGCCGCGGCTTAGAGCCGGCCAAGGGCCTGGGATACCGGAAACGATGGTAGCAGTGCAGCAAGAGTGAACACTATGTGGCAAACACCACAAGGACGACAACCACAGCCTTAACAACCAACAACCATGGCAGCGGCAGCAGCAGCAGCAGCAGCAGCAGCAGCAGAACAACGACGACGACGACGACCAACGTTGCACCATGTACTTTGCTGTTGAAAAATCCGTGCTATTGGGTCCAAGACTCGTGTCCTCTGTTTAGCTACCAGAAGGACTGTCTTTCTTGGTGCCTCCACGAACCAAAAGCTTCTGCCAGCAGTGGCCTTGTGTGACGACAGAGTTCCCAGTTGCCAGATTTTTGGAGTGCTTTAGGCTCCGCGAATTCCACGCTTTGAGACCTTGAAGTGCTGCATGCTGCATGTATTTTGAGAGTCTAACAGCTGCACATCACGGTGAGCGTGTACCGGGAGGAGGAGCAATATGAATCCCAAATCAGATTGTTGGTGATGGCACGGCCTAGGTATACTGAAGCAACGGCGGTCAGCTGCAGGGGGCAAGCCCGATGATGCGCTGGTGCCGTACAAGACGCCCCGAGAAGCAGGATACTACGCCCAGCGCCCAGCGAGAAATATGAACTCTATAAACCCTATAAAGAGAGAAATATAAATCCTATGAACACTATAATCCCAGTTTCCATTTCATTTTCCACTATTTTCCATGTGATTCTCCATTATTGGGGGTTTCCATTTCTTGTGTATTATCCATATATACAGCCCATCAGTTTGCTGAAAGGTGGTCCGGGAGCTTGGCCGTGGAGGTGCAAAGAGTTCAGTCAGCAAAAAGCAGCTGCCAGATGCTGCAAGTAGACTTGGCTAGCACCCTCCCACCATTGCAGCACTGATGCTGTCACGGGCTTGCTTTTCTCGATGTTTAATAGCCTTTCTTTAATGTACAGAGCTGATGACCTGATAAGGTGAGCAGCTCCGTCTGCATAATGCTGTTAAACACATTGTCTCCTGCCAGGCCAGGGGGTCATGTACTTGGCAACCAAGCCAGGCACTCAGGTTGTCCAAGTTGCCGTGTAGCCCTTTTTCACGTTCTTTACAAGTATAGGGGAAGTAAGTCATCCAAAATAGGGCCCCCACTAGGGGCTCATGCTTTTAACCCCGGATTACTGAGGCAAGAGAGTGGAGGCTTCTTCCTATGTAGGGATGGCAGCTCGTCTTCTGCTTTCGCTCCCTACATGGGCAAACGTTCTGTGGCTTTGCATCCAAGATGATGAGCAGCAGTACTGCATCAAGTTCTACTCGAAGAAGGTGGCCTGCTCAGTGTTTTGGCACATTCTCGGAAGCCCACTGCGTGTGCAGGATGCAAACGCGGGCCTGGAGCTTTTTTTTGGCATTGCTGTAGGTTGTAACTATTTAAGTCGGTTCTTGTGGCATGTGTGACCCCCGCCGAGGTACTGTGCATGAGCTGGTGGATGAGTTCTCGCGCATGCGACAGTTTAAGAGCCAGCAGCTTGCCTCAGTCTGGCGTCCTTCTACTCTGCCCTAGACCCAACAATGCCAGCGGGAGGGGAGCTGAAGGTTTGTCGCCAAGACGTACGAGACTTTTCAGGATGCGGACTTCTACTATCTGGCCACTCAAGCATGCAAAGATGGAGTTGCATCAACAGAATTTTTCTTTTGCCGGCAAGGTCAACGAGCCGTACTTTGGGGGTGACTGGACCAAGCTTGCCCACAAGGTCACTTCACGGTGTTTGGCTGAATGAGAGCTCCCTGCAAACTGTCTCCACGAGGCCCACGCGCAAGGCGTACAGATGTCTGAGGACTGGTGGCGCAGCTTGTTTCGCCAATGCGTCAGCGGTCTTGACTATTTGTGCCCGGCCTGCAATCTTGTAACTGCTGGTCTGGCTGGTCTCCACGACAAGTTGGTGCTCGTGTCTGCTGCAGGCACAAGTCTGCCCAGATGCACTGCGACATCAAGGCATGGTTCCCCCTTACTCTCTCTGAGCAGTGCATATCCTGAATGTTCATTGCGCGAAGGAGGCTAATTTGATGATCAAAGATGGCCACGACTTCTTGAGTTGCCAGCCTAGCTCATGCTGCAGAGAGGAGGCAAGAAAGACGTCGAAGTTTCCATGGTCTTGAATGGACTCGCAGCCTGCCTTCGTTCGTGATCTTTGCCCCATCCTGTGCAACTCTACGCCTCCTTAAATTGATTGCTTGGCCTGCTTTTCGGGCATTCTGAAATCTGCCTTGCAAGACGCCTTGGGGACCTTGCCAGAATGCACCAGAAAGTTCTACTCTTCAACACTACAAGTCACAGCCACTCCTGCTGGCCAAAAGCAACGGCAGTGTACCAAATGCTAAGGACTAAGGAAGTAGCCATGCGCCCTGCAGAAGGAAAAAATATATATATATGTGTGTGTGTGTGTATGTGTGTATATATATATGTGTGTGTGTATGTGTGTATATATGTATATGTATGTATGTATATTTGTTGATTTATGTTCCCTATTATATTATAATAGTCTACACTTTATTTTCCATTATCCCAATATCATATTAATAGTATTAACAATAGTAGTAATAATAATGAGGTTTCTTGCCATCCTGCCAGCCCGCCCTCTCGACGAAGGTCCCCAGGTGGTGTACATCGATTTCGGGCTGTCCCAAGCATTCGCCAAGAAGCTTCAGAATATCTGCGGAACGTCCGACCGGCAGCAGATTCATTCCAATTTCCGGCGTGTAGTGTCAGCCAATGAACTCTACAACTCGTCCAAGGCCTGGATACATACCTCCGGAGACGTGGAATGAGTATGTGCGCCCTGCATTTCAGTGAGCTTCCGATGCGATGTACAATCCATCTCTGTTGAAACATGCAGGTGTGGTATCCTCAGGGCGATATCTTCAGCCTTGGAGTGCTTCGGCTGAGCTAGCTCCAGCTAGCTGTTGCTGTTGTATTGCAGGCCTGCTCCAGTTCACAGTAGCTGAAGCCGCTTTAGCCCTAGGTTGTTTTTTTCCAGATGCTGGCTGGCCGCGTGCCTTCCGCCGACGGTGTCCACAAGGGCATCTTCCAAGAGGGTGCTGAAACCTGCCATGATTTGGCGTATCAGCTATCCTGATTGCGTGCTGCTTCTGATGGACATGGCTACCTAGCCAGCAGCTGCCAGGATATGAAGCAAGTTGCAAAAGCCACCATGCAGACTCCGCCCCCGTGGCATGAATTTCCACAGCAATGGAGTGCCGGCCCTGGATAAATTAACTAATTGATCCTGGTCAAGAGTATCGCGTGACTCTGACCGCGTAGCTCTCAGGACAGCTGGGTGGAGTAATTGCTGCAATGCTGCAGAAAGAGCAGATGACCTAACTCAGGGGATGTCTGCAAACCAGTCTGTTTGTTGTGGTCTCTGTTCGCGTGAGCCGTAGGCGAATCTTGCGCCCGCGACCTGCAGCACTGCTTGTCGCGACTTGGCCTGAAGAACCGCTAGGTTAATTGTGTGAAGCGAGCAAAAGAAGCAAATTAAGGACCCATGGTTTGCCTCTGACTCTGATTCGCCGCTGCCGCGGGAGAATCTCGCGCGGATTGTGCCTTGGCGGGCTTGAGGACCCCATTTTATGTGGTGTGCTTTTTGTGGTATGGGTCCGGGGGAGTGTGCCTGTTTCCGGCGTGGCAGGTGGGCGTATCCAGAGAAGCAGTTTGCAGGACTTCATTGTGAAGTAGATGCTCCCAAGCACATCAGGCACTCTCTGACTGCAGGAGTGATCTCACGAACGAACTCTGCGACAAATGCAATCTCAACGACTTGTGCCACGTCTGAAACAGCCGCCGTCAAATTATGCGCCTTCTCTTCTGCAAATGCCTCTTTGGGCTTTGAGTTGCACAGACTTGCAGGGAAATTGCAGCCAAGGAGGGCAATGCGCAGCAGACTGGACGAGATTTCCAACTCTATGGGTGGCCGGCGTGCCGCTGGGCATGAACGCAGAATCGAAAGAGAGGACTCTCGCTCGGTACATTGTTGTACGGCATCTGGGGAGTTGGAGAGTGACGGCTAGAGCTTCCGCCTTCAAAGCCTGCTTCTAATCATGATGCCGATCAATGTCAACCTTGCCTCAGGATGTTGTTTCGTAAGAGCTTGCCTTGCTTGCTTTTATCATTCCCGCCGCCTAGGGGAGCTGCTGACCATGTCTAGCTAAGGTTACTCTACCCCTCCCCCACCCTTGGGCAGGGCTAGCTGTCTCTGCTTTGCCAACAAAGGCCATGTCAAACTCGACCGTTCCAGCAACAAAGCCCCTGGGCTGTCACCCTATGCACGAAAACTGAGACTCACATAGCTACTCGTATTGGTCCAAAATTATGCGCGTACATTATCGCATGTCCATTTACATTGGTGTACACGGATATATGCTTGTAGACAGATATGGTTGCGCGCTGGCGGGCCCCACCCCCTTTCTGGGTGCGCGGTAGAATTCATAACAATACACAACAAAGGAGAATTTGCTAACTGGTCGTGTTTCCAGAACGGAGAATTCGCAACCAGAACGTCATGTTGCTTATCTGGGTTGCTGTTAAGGAACTTAAATTCAGTTACCATAATGGGTATATATAGTAAATAATAGGGTTTCCCCAATATAGTAACTTAATTTAAGTTCCTTAACAGCAACCCAGTCATTGGCTTATTGGTTCTATAGGATGGTGTCCAGAAAGGGAATGGTTGACTTTAGGTTTACCAAAACGATGTCGAAAGCGTGTTGGTTGCAACATGTACGTTCTTGGCTCGCCAACGGGGAGATCTGCGAGATGACACGTTTAAGGGGTTATAAAGCCCATATTGGCTGTTAAAAGTGTACAGGAGTCCGAAAAACATATGGGTAGTTCGGATTTGACATGTGAGGGCGTCATAACACCCATACTGGAAGTTACGATTTTGTATATCAGAGCAGTCAACCAACACTAGTATGTAGGATTTGACATTGTCCGGGGGTTCTCAAACCCATGCGGAGGTTGTGAAACCCATGCTGTCAGTTAGGGTTTGCATTTTGCGGTTCATCAAATCCACACTCGTAGTTGGGACTTTGCGTTTTCGGTGTTATCAAACCTGTACAAGCAGTAAGGAGTTTACACTGTAGGGCGTTTAAGTTCATTGTGGTAGTTAAGCTTTGACCATTCAGGGGTTTGACGCCCATACTTGTAACCAAAATTACGCCGGTTGTAAGTTCTACGTTTCGATTGCCAATTCTACGTCGTGACCTAAAGTTTGCCTGCTAAACTTGCAGTCTGGTGATTCTCACCCTCGTGGTGTGGCTGGGCCTGGGTATATAGTAATAAATGAGGACTGGTGTAAGGAAGGAAGTCTTCAAACACGTACCTGTCCTTTGCTACGAAAATTTCTTAAGAAAAAGTATTGGACGAAATTCTAGAATAAATTGCGTGGAATTAGAACGCCCGCCATTATGAGACTGTTGGCACTTTTTAGACCTGCACACAACGACAGTTACGAGAATGGCGCCCAATCGAAAACTGCGACAGTTGCGAGGATCGTAAGCTGGACACCTACCATTTGTGTGATTGTTCACCTTTTCAGAGGTCAGGGGACCATACCAGGGCCGGGGGTGGGGGTATGGCGCAGCAGGGGGCGGGGCGCAGAACGCATAGAGCATACCCATATACATACATATATGTATATATATATACATATATACATACATATTTTGTGTGTTTGTGTTCCTTCGTTTAATCGTATGAATATGAATATCCGCATGGATGTACAATTACTGTGTATACACACATGTATGTACTTACAGCAATTCCTGCTCTGTGCAGACCTGCAAATCTCGCACATGCAAAGTATGAAGGTTTGCAGCAGTGGTCCTCGGCTACGGCATAGACAATGGTATCTTGGAAGACTACATGGCCTCCGTACAGGCCTGTAGCTGTTACATCAATGTGCTGCAATGACCAGGGCCTAATCAACGACAACATTCTAAATCTTTGGCAAAGGGACCCTAGCACAACTTAACTGAATTGCTGCACCCTTCATTTTGGTCGCATAACGCAGCGTCGGATTCCCGCCGCATTGCCTCCTTTGTCTGCTTAGCGACAGAGGGGGCGGTCGTGATCTACGAGCATCTTCTACAGGATGCTGTCCAGGCTCCACGGTGTCAGAAGATCAGACGTATTAGGCATATTATGTGGTGTCCTCCATTGCGTGCCGGCAACAGCTGAATTTTTGCTTGGTCTCAGGAGAAAGAGAGGCGAAGTTCACAGTCCCTGGTCTGAATTTGCCCGTACTTGGACCACAGAATACAGTCAATGCAGCCTTCGCCGATTGACTGAACCTGAACCCCACAACATGAAACCTCCGCGTCCGGGAACTTTTGCATTCCCAGGCTAGTGTGCGAGCTCTTCAATGAGACTCTTGGTTTTGTGTTAGGTGCAGGCAGGTTAGAAATGGTGGTGCCCCCGCACACTCAGGATCGATGTTGATGGCAATGGGGCTCTCTCTGTAGACGAGATACGTAACTTATTGCAAAGTGATGCATTTGAGTGCAGCTACGACGATGTCGAAGAGGCGAGGTTTTCAGCTTCAACTTCTCCCGGCATGAGGACTTTGTTGAATTAAGCTTGTAGGTTTTGGACAACATGGACGCCAACCATGATGGATATGTCGACTTCCAAGAAATGAAGCGTTACGGACCCAGATGATGCAAGCAGTTCCTTCGAGGTTAGAGAGGCATGTGCGTGAGTGCTGGTGTCACCCCGTCAGCGACTTTGCCCCGAGGTGCCGTCATGGAAGACGGCCGCATCGCCAGGAAGGATGAGGCAGATGAGGCAGTCTGCGGACCGTAGGCATGTATTGAGCAAAGCTCGTGATCAATTGAGCAAGACTGCGCCCAACCTGAAAAGTCTATGTTGGTGACCCTTGGTGCAAACCCCATGTAGAAAATCAAGGACATATAGAATTCTTCCTTTCGCTATTGCTCCATGAGTCATCTCAAGGCGTGGAAGCCGTTCTGGGGTTGGTTCGGTGCCTCTGCTAAAGTCCGGCCAGAATGCAAACAAGGGCCAGCCTGGCTGATACCGAGGATGGATATGACAGGGCTCTGAAGCCGACAAGTGAGCGCGTGGGTGCAGAGTGTTTCACACCAAACCGTTTGAAACGGGGTGATGTTTCAGCCTCGCTCCTATGATTGATTTACAAGAAATCGGAATTTCCTGTCACTGGTACGAGCTGCAAGAGCAGCTCGCAAACAGTGCCCGGCAACCGTGCTCTATCGTTTCAGTATCTGTGCTCTTCAGCAGGTAGACATGTGCCTGGATCAGGGCTAGCTGTGTTAGGGAAGGGCTGGCATTTGCCTTCCTGGTGGGAATGGCGCAGAAGCGTTCAAGAGCACCCCATGGTGAGGCCTGCACCCTGCTGTTCGGCAAGAACGCTGTCGTTGTCCATCCACTTCAGCCTAGGAGACATTCAACAAGCGAGTCACAGCTCATTCGCACATCATATATGCTGCAATCACTGACGCCATGCGCCAGAGAGTTTGCTTTGGGACTCGGGGGGCTAGTGCAGTAAAGGCTTTAGAGGTGCTAGATTCGCATGCAGATTTTCAGAGGTGAATGATAGCTGTAAGCACTATTGCTCCTTCGCAATCTTTTAGGAAGCCTCACTGCGAGAGGAAGCCTTTTGCACGCATACTGGACAGGGCCAACTTGCTGTGCCTCGGTTGCGTTTGGCCTTGCAGCTGTATCACATTATGCAAGTCCAAGCCTGCCGTTTCTTCAGGCTTCCCATTGTCTCGGACGCTGTGTACCGGGTACTCACGGGAAGCGAGCTTGGAGCACCGGTGACCGTGGGTTGCTGGTGCAGGCAGTCTAACTGTGAGCCAAAGCTTCAAGGCTTCAACATCCTTCGACTTGCTTTGCAGGCCGGGCAGATTGAAGCGAGTCAGTGCGGAAGCGAGCCATGTCCTCAGCCATGGGTGCACTGTGACATACTCTGACTCATGAGCGCCACGCCATGTCCAGCAAGCTTGCCTTGGATTGTTTTGATATGACTCATTGTTCTACAGCCGGAAGTCGTTTGTCTCAAGCACTCGCGCCGACGCGAAGTATTTTCTAAGCCCTGGCTAGACCTAGAGCCTGGCACTGCACAGAAATGGCTGAGGCAGACAAGGACCGACGCTCTCGCATGGCCATATCTACCGTCCATGCCCCTCCGAAAAAGGGTGGAGCAGGTGGAGCTTTCACTTGGGGCTCAGAGAAGGAGGGCACCATGGACTTTGATGCTAGCCGACTTCAGCAACAGGTGAAGGTAGTCACGGCTGCAGCTCCTGTCCAAGTTCAAGCCGCAGCAGCTCCCTTCACTGCCAATTTGGCTAGCGCCCAGCAGTTTCCTTCTCTGGGAGCCCGGCCGGTGCAGGCGCCTACAACAGCTTGGAACCGGCCTCTGTATGCAGCTGCTGTGGCCCCCTCTGCAACCCCAGTTACACCAGCGCCAGCTGCATTACCCACCACAGCTTCGACCCCCGTGCCAGTCGCCACACGGGTGATCACAGGCCCAGCAACCCAGACCTACCCAACTTATGCGGCACCAGCAGCATATCCACCTGTGTCATACCCCTATGCAGCTCCAGTCAGAGCTGCCGCAGCGCCAGTCGTGCGGACGGTTGTCAAGGAGATGCCAGACAAGGATCGACGCTCGCGGATGGCAATTTCAACCGTCCACCAAGCGCCCAAAAAGGGAGGCGCCGGGGGATCCTTTACATGGGGTGCTGCTGGGGATGTTCAGGACTCCTATGATCCGGCCCCAGTGACAGAAACCAAGGTGATGCTTGCCCCAGCTCAAGCGGGTGCCCAGCCAAGCCCTACCGGCCCCTTCACAGCAAATCTGGCCAGCGCTCAGCAATTCCCGGCTTTGAGTTCCAATTCCCCTCAGATGTCACAGACCGTCTGGCACACACAGCCTGCCGCTATCAAGGAAGCACCATCCCCAGCAGCAGCGGCAGCATCTTCCCCAGGCCTGGCTCCTTCCCCGGCCCCGGCCACCGCACCAGCTTCGGGCTCCCCGGTCTTGACACCGGCCCCTGTGACACCGGCGCCTGCCACCACGCTGGAAGCTCCAGAAGAAGCGCCAGCTGAGGCGCAGAAAGCAAAGGAGGGATCCAATTGCTCTATCCAGTAAGGTCGTCTTGTGAGCGCAGGACGCAAGAGTTTTGGACTTCCCCAAAGTGGCTTCACTCGACCGACCGCATTATTTAACGGACTCTAGGAAGCGCAGAAAGGGAGGTCTTGCACGCGTGCAGTGACCTATCTGAATGCCACGTTATGCTCAAGCACTGGAGGCCGTCACGCAGGATGTTGGCTCAAAGATAGCATGATGCGCCACATTCTGCGCAAACGATCTGGCGGCGGCTCGGTGAGCATGGCTTTAGCAACATGTAAAATTCATGTCGTCCGGTTGACAGGCAGTCCTGTGCTCAAATGCCCCCCAAGAGCCCAGGCCGCAACATGAACGCAGCAGTCGTGGCTGCCACTCTGGCCTTGTGCCTGTGGCAAGGCTCCCTGCGTGTTTGTCTCATGGCCTGGTAGCGGCTTTGCAGGAACAACATAGGCAAGAGAGTGCTCAGCCACTGTCAGAGCAGCCACCAGCACGTGCGCAAGGCTCAGCTGAGCTGTCGGGATCTTGTTCTGTTGGAGGCCCGGATGGAGAAACGAACGAGGGTGCAGCTAGACATCGTATACGATGTGTGACACCAGGGGCAGGGTTTCCTCAGATGTGTGCTTCGCAGGCCAGCAAGTAGTGGTGGCAGAGAAGTCGGCACTTGATTCGAGACTGGGCGCAGGGCAGACTTACCTTGCCATATACCATGGCTCAGAGGGTCAAATGCAACCAGCAGTCAGATGAGGATGGCTTTTATGCTGTCTGCAATTGTCAACCTTTGCACCGTTGTCCTCTTCTCAGACGGGCTGCCCAGGTTTTGTCACTTGATGGGCAGAGGATTTCTAGCCCACGAGGTTGTGATGGTTTACCTCGTGAGCAAGCTCTCCTCAATAAACTTCCAGGCAGGAATCCTGGTGCCTCAGCAAATGCAATGCACTGACTGCTGGCCTCCGGGCTGTAGGCTCCACGTCCTGAAGCTGCTCTCCGCTGCTTTGCTGTTTGATGTGGTTCTTTGATGTGTGTCTTGGACATGGACTGAAGAAAGCCAAGCTAAGGAGAACAGGTGGAAATGGCCCGCCAAATTTCTTCCGCAGGCAAGGAATTAGGGCCCAACGCTTATGAGGTTACTACAGCTGAGGGCAAGTCGAAGCTGGGCAGCAAGAATCGACTGCGTTAGCGGTTAGCGCTGCTTGGGTGGGGCCTTTTCTTTGATGCCCATGGTGCTATAGGACTGTTCTCCAGCAAAAGACGGGCCAGATCATTGTGAAGGATTCGCCAGAGGCAGTGAAGGCAATGAAGAACGTCTTCATGCGATTATGCACTACCACGGACGAGTTGATCTCAGTCCCCTGGCAAAGATGGAGGATCCGCTTTTGTTTCTGGAGCGCTCCCCGAGCCCTGGCTCAGGTCAACGACGTCATGAAGGTGCATAACTTGTTGGGTGAGCCAATGGATGATGAGGATGAGAAGAAGATGATGGCCTTCTTTGACACAGGCTCTAAGTCGAAGCTTTGCCCGCACAAGATGTTTTAAGGACGTGACAGCTGTTGAACCACAGAGCATGTCACTGGTTAGCGGCTAAGGAAGGTATGCATCAGCTTCGATACATTTATGGCATGGTGGAACGAGTTGCACGATGTTGGTGCTGATCCAGACAAGCAGCATGGCATTGCAATGGCTCGCCAATTTCAGCATGTCCGAAAGCGTCCATCTGAGGTACTACTCACAGGAGCGCTACCGACAGCGCTTCAAGGTGCTTCAGTCTCGCCTTAAGGAGCCCACCATTGCTTCAATTCTGTCTGTGACAGAGGGTGAGGTCGGCTCTCGACGGTTCCGCGTTTGGTTCGAGAGTGATGGGAACCGTCTGTCTCCGTGGCACGACATTCCCCTGCGAAACCCGGATGGCTCGTACAACTTCGTTTGCGAGATCCCGAAGTGGACAAGGAAGAAGTACGAGATTGCAACAGGAGAAACCATGAACCCCATCAAGCAGGATGTTAAAAATGGCGTCCTGCGTGAATACAAGTGGGGCGACATGCTCTTCAATTATGGGGCGTTCCCGCAGACCTGGGAAGATCCCAAGCACGTTAGCGAGGAAACTGGATTCCCAGGTGACAATGCCCTAATCTCAGCTGAGCTGCTTATTCAAGGAAATGTGGCCGATGCAGGAAAAACAGGAGTCTTAGTGAAAGCTTACTTCACTTTGCTGGCTGAGGACCCTATTGATGTCATTGAGTTAGGCACGCGGCAGCGACCCGTGGGCTCAATTACACGAGTAAAGCGCCTCGACGTACAAGAGCAAACTGCTGCAGTCATCCAAGTCAGAGTCGGCATCGCCTGCTGACTTCTATTACCATTATTGCTATGGTTACTATCATTATTGTCATGATTATGACTACACAAGTTTCAGACGTTTGCTACAGGATTCTGGGCGTGATTGCCATGATTGACGATGATGAGACCGACTGGAAGGTCCTCACTATTGCCATGGATGATGACCGATCGCAGCACCCAGGCTGCCTATAGGGGGTTTTGAAGGGGATCATAGGGGAGTATTATAGAGGTTATTAAGGGGGATACTAAAAGTTTAGACTATAGATCATTTGGTTACTATAGATCATTTGGTTGGCTGTTTTTCAGCATGCCTTGCGAGCTTTCAGGCGCGACCTGTTGTATGGATGTTCTGTGGCGCAAGCCCAGGAATGTCAACGACTTGAACGACATCGATGCACACATGCCGGGATGCACTCAAGCTCTCACTGACTGGCTCAGGATGCAACTTGCTAAGGTTTGGTGGTTTTGTACAAGGGTGAAAACTCATTGAGCATGATTAGGTACAAGACCGCAGAAGGCAAGAAGGAGAACAAGTTTGGTTGTGGTGGCAAGCCGCAGGGCGCCGCGTTTGCGCGCAAGGTGGTGGACGCTTGCCTTCGTCAGCACAGCCCATCTACCTCAAAGTGTCCCCCCAAATCCAATTGAAGGATATCCATATATAACACCAATACTACCCCTATGTAACCCTATTATAATATAGTAGTTTCCAGTTTTCCATTATCCCTATTCATAACTCCTAATTTTGTACCGCTAGTTGGCTGAGCTACGCCTTCCTCCCAGGACGAGTGCCACGAAGCATGGCGGAAGCTTCTCGCCGCTGCAGATGAGAAAGGAAAAGTTAAGAAGATTGCCAGTGGCAACAATCTTTACACTGAGCTTGCGCTTGGTGACGATGACGATTAGATGCTAGGTAATATGCGCAGAAGCGGCCTAGTCAAACTTCGCAAACTTCTCACTCAGAATCGTGCCAGGCATGTACCGGATTTTCCAACAGTACAGCCTACAGCTGGCTGTGCATTTGGACTGCTTTGGCAATTTTCGGTTTTCCGAAGACGTAGTTGCTATTGGCGTGCGGGCGCCACAAAACAGGCAGAGTCCTTGTTTTCTTGCCTACTCGTTTGGGGACGCGACAGTAGATTTGTACTGAACGGTGAGCTTGCGGGGAGCGGCCTTCATCAGTCAGGTCAAGTTCTGAAGCTGTTCTACGGCACAGGCGCCGGCATGTTGCCACGTCCAGGCGCCGCAGCTCAGATCTGCAGCACAGGCGGCACAGCCTGCAAAAACCGAGGTGACTGGTTCTGCGGCCAGTGCAAAGCCAGAAACTGCAAAGATCGATGGTTCTGCTGCTGGGCAGCAGTCGACATACCGTAGAACTTAGGAGTCTAGCTACTGCTCACAGATGCTGATTCTCAGTTGCACAATCATGCGAAGGTTGGCGTTGTGCACCTCCGGGCGGCGTGGGAAGCCCCATAACAAGTCCGGGCACAATGCGGGTCCGGAGCCATTCTCGCGGCACTGGCTCCTGTGCTTGCAAGCTGCGAAATGCTTCAAGGTCATGGACAGCTTTAACTATCCTTCCCGATGGGATTGGGGCTGCGTGCGCTGTGCAGCAGCATCTTGGTGTCAAAGTCGTCCATTTGCTAGATCTTGCCTGCTGCTCCTTGCACAATCTTGGTGGAGCTGTCAGGCGCTTTGTGGCTACGAGCCTGGGCGTCAGTGTTCTTTCCTGAGTTGCGGGGCCATAAGTTCTGGCCTGCAAGGGACCAATGCTCCCATTGCGGTGCTGAACGCCCAGGCAGCATGAGCTCGCATAATGGGGTGCAAGTCTTGGAAGATGTGCCTTGTCGTGAGACTGGCGGACTTCGTGATGCAGCAAGGCGACGGCATGATAATCCTACGGCGGAAAATGCGTTACCTGGGCAGCCAGTCGCATGCGATGAGACATTGAGATACGTCAAATTCTGCAATGTTCCATAATTGGAATGGCTCAAGCTGATTAGCAGCTGCCGGTGTGTCCAAGACACTGGCCTCGAGGACTTTTCGCAACCAGAAAAACTGTAAGAGGGGCGCTGATCGCAATGCACAGAATGCACCTGAGCTGACCAAACTCGAGGATGGGAGCCTGCATCGCACATGATTCCCAGGCCAAGGCCAGAGCTCTTTTCTTCGTTTTCTTCGAGCTGAAAAGATAGACAGAGGACATGAGAGGAGCTGCTCATATTGTAGGCTGACAGTGATTTGTCCTTCCCTGCGGTCGGTGATGAGAGCGTGATACTCTGCCAGCAAAGACTAGCTTAGCTCCTGTCCCAGGCCAACAGCAGTCGTTGCATGTCGCTGCAGTCTGCACGGGATTCCAGTGGCCCAGGACAATTTCCAAGGACTCTGCGCAGGCGTTGAAAGCCATGAAGGCTGTGTTCCAGCGCCTTTGCACCACCTCGGGTGAATCGATCTCTGCATCACGGCCGCGTTGACCTCATGTCGCATGAAGGCGCTGCCTACATGTTTGTGAATCTCGTGATGCAATCCAGGCAAATGACGTGGCAAAAGTGCACAACCTCTTGGGGGAACCCCTGGACGATGATGAAACTCAGCGGATGATGTCATTCTTCAATGCGCCTTCTCCGTCGAAACGAGACTGCAACAAATCATGTTGCTGCGTCGTAGCCCGATTCCTGCAAGATCCACAGCTGCCTCTGCTGCTGAGGGACAAATGCATAACGTTCGAGAAGTTCATGTCCTGGTGGAACGATCTGCACAACAGCGGTATTGAGTCGCAGCAGCATGGCACAGCCATGCTTGTCCTAGCACGCCATCGCTGTCTCAGAGTGTTTCGTATGAGGTAGTTGTCCCTTGCACGGCCACGCGCATGGAACTCATGGAACTCATTTCCGGTTCTGCTGTCACCTAGGTATTTTTCGCAGGAGCGCTACCGACAACGTTTCAAAGTTCTCCAGTCCCGGCTTAAGGATCCAAAGATTGCATCCATTCAGACAGTCACAGAGGGCGAGATCGGCTCTCGGCGCTTCCGCGTCTGGTTTGAGTGTGACGGTCATCGTCTCTCTCCGTGGCATGATATCCCGCTCAAAAATCCAGATGGCTCCTACAACTTCGTTTGCGAGATCCCGAAGTGGACAAGGAAGAAGTACGAGATTGCAACTGGAGAGATCATGAACCCAATCAAGCAGGATGTCAAAAATGGCGTCCTACGCGAGTACAAGTGGGGTGACATGCTCTTCAATTATGGGGCGTTCCCGCAGACCTGGGAAGATCCCAAGCACGTTAGCGAGGAAACTGGATTCCCAGGTGACAATGTGCCTTGGTTGCCTGCCAGATGCACACGTATTTCCGAAGCAGCTTCGCATGCAGTAACTCGCTGCTTAGGACCCTATTGATGTCATTGAGTTGGGAGCTCGACAGCGACCAGTGGGATCGATTGTCCGAGTTAAGAGCCTCAGAAGCGATCAGACGTCTGTCTTTTCTTTTCTCTTTCTCGCTCCATGCCTAAATCCCTTCTCTCTCTTTCACTCATTCACCCACTCTTTCACTCTTGACTCGCTGTTTTCAGGATTCTTGGGATAATTGCCATGATCGACGACGATGAGACAGATTGGAAAGTGCTTGCCATTGCCATGGACGATGATAAAGCGCCGAGCCTGCGGCACGCTTCAGAATGTTTTGCTTCAACATGCTCATGTAGCAGTGATTGGCAGTGATTGGGCTCTCATTGACGGATTCTTTTTCTCAGCGGCCAGCATAGACAGAAAGACGGCACCCAGGAGTGTACATGACTTGAATGACGTTGAAGCCCACTGGCCGGGCGCCGTGACTTCTCTGACAGACTGGCTCAGGATGCTGCTGGGCTGCAGAGAGGCGTCATGTTGCAATTCAGCTAGTCACAGCAGCCAAGCACAGGAGCGGTGATGTAGAAGCAACAGAGTAGCACCCGCGCCCGTACTTGTACAGCTAATAGTGGCAACAAACTAATACTGAAAGTAATTGCCATGGCTGGTGCTACACGGGGTGGCGCAAGATTTCCTCTACCAACAGCACTACTAGTAGCAGCAGTGGTAGTGGCAGCGTTCGTGATAGTAGAGGTAGTTGTTAGCATGAAAGCTGTTATGAATGAAGTAGTCGTAGTCGTCGTAGTAGTAGTAGTAGTAGCAGCAGCAGCAGCAGCAGTAGTAGCTGCAGCAGTAGCAGTAGTAGTGGTAGTAGGAGGCTCCGGTTACGCAAGGCGCAAAATGCTGTAATTTCAAGCGCTCCTGGTTTCCGATGGCCGGAGTTGCTCTGGGACTTTTGGGGCGTTTTATCTTAAACATGTTCCAGCATGCGGAAACTCAAATGTCTGCATCGTTGATATTGGTTCCAGGTAGAGTCGAGTCAGGGATGAAACGATCCCTTGTGAAAGGTCGCAATGGTGGCAAGCAGCGGCACCATTGCGTGGCATGTGGAAAATGCGACCACAGAGTATAAAATTGAATCAGAACTCCTCTCACCCTTGGACAAAAGGTCGAACCTGGGACTAATGTGGCGATGATAAAATTAAATCAGAACTCCTCACGCCCTTGGACTAATGGGGCAAACATTGGACTAGTGGGGGCGAACCTTGGACCAATGGGGAGATCCACAAAAAGAAAAAGCAACTGGGAAGCCTACTTGAAAAAAACGCGTCTTTTATCAACAAACGTCCAAAATAGGCCTGAACGCAATACAAAAAGCACAAACAACTCAGACCAATAATACGGGCAAGTGGATCAAGCAGAAAGTTCCAGGGGAGCTTTGTTTAAGCATCGCGCGAAACCACAGTTTCGGCAGGGGTGAAGTGGAGAAAATCACATCGTCATAAACGCTACCGTTACCTAGTAGTAATAGTAGTAGGAGTCGCAGTAGTAGTCTAGTACTAAACTCTAGCAGTACTACTCCTCCTCCTACTGCTACTAGGGGGATGCGCGTGTTCGTTTACGCGCCATTTCGGCTTGC